AGAGAGAAGGGGGAGAGGGCTATCGTTTGCTTGGATAATATTTGCATTTATTTATTCGTATACAAACGAAAGCATATTTATATAGTCTATCATTTGAAGTGAATGTCTTGAGTCGATACCAGCTTTTGAACTCAATAGAAAGTATTCTTGCATCTTGTACAACATTTTTTACTTGCATTACGGTATCTTTATTTCTGTCGAAGGAGAAATAATTTGACTTTCTATCAGTTGTCAATTCAGAAAACACTATTCCCAAGGCTATCAACTTTACTTAAGTGATCTTTTAATTTTTCTCATGTCTCAAGTTGAGTTTATAAATAAATATTGATTTTTAAGATGGTGAAATAGCCTAGAACTCAAGAGTAACACTATCACATGAGTTTACCATTTTTATTTTGAATCACCTGAATGGAATGAAAACCCTATCAGTCATTGCAAGTGTTGTTTAGAATAATAATTTAGTTAATGTGCCTGTTTTAAGTACAAGTATTTTTTTGTTGAAAGGTTACTCTTATCTTTTCTTAGTAACATGTCGTGGGTCAGTTAAGTACTATGGGGAGAACTACTTGAATTTGACTGATTTCGTACCCTTTTTTTTTTTTCAACGACAAAATTCCTTTAGAAATTTGATAGACTTCATACCCTTATTATATTTTATATTTTGACATAAATGGTGTTAATGGTCGAGTTAAGTGGATTTCGTGTTGATATAGCAATTAACCGAACGGTGGATTCTTTTCATGTGTCTGCTCAAAAAATTATTGAGAACAAGACTCCAACCCTCATTTTCTTTAATCAACTTTTTAATTAAATTGCAAATCTCAAGATAGTTATATTGTTGTAATGTTGCCTATATTTTTCTATCATTAGATGGAATCCTTATGAATTAGCAACTTTTGAATTATATCTTAACATTGTAGACCAAATTCTCTTCAAACTTGTTCGAAAACTTGTTATGAAGCTAATCAAATCCTTTTCTCTCAACCAGATTGGATTGGATTGGATCAAGATGGTATATCGAAGAGGAGTTGAAAAAGCACGAAACAAGCATGATGCTTGTTAGAATAATACTGTTAAATTCACATTTGTAAACATGTCAAAATGTTTGTGAGTCATTGATATAACATCCACGCACTTGATAAACTAAAATTGTAAGCTTAAAATCTAGAATTTCTATTATCGTTCTTCTATGGTTACAACAATATTCCTATATTTACTTTAGAGAAACTGTAAAATTTTGAAGATATAGTAAATAAGTTGCGATAACTAAAAACTTGATTATGCTATAAAGTTTTATTGAGTATTCCTCGTATTTAGCATGTTGGTATTCTTAACTTGTGATATTTCAAAGACATATAGTACAAAGTTGCTTTTGTGAAACATATTAAATTCTAGGATTTACAAGTGAAAATTCTACATATTGTTACTTTATATTTATGAGTTGTTTGATCTCCTTGATCTAACTTATAAGTACCACGTAAAGAGGCGAATAAAGATATAGTCAGGCTTTTATTGTCAAACGTGTAAACCTCTCAAAACTTAAACTTATTTTTCTTTCTTAACAACGTCGCATTTTTATGAGTTGATAGCTCAGTGAGTGGAGAAGTTCAGAACAAATATACTTTTTCATTTATACATTTTTATTGAAAACCAAATTCATATCATTTGATAAAATAATTGGTGCAAAAATTACACTAATATATGGAAAGACATTATTATATACACTTGTATAAGTCTAGTCAACTTAATCCCAAATCTCCCTAAGGAAAGAGAGATGACCATGCCTCAATTTAATTTGTTACACATTATGGTTTCAAGTTCAATATATTATTTTGTTAACTAACTTTTTTGACAAGTTGAAGGAAGATCCAACCATTTTATTCGCCATTTTTGTTAAATTCCGTCACTAATGACGTGTTTGGTTTACAATATGATTAAAGTTATACAATACATAATATTATTATTTTTTTTCCTTTTTAATAATGTGTAATATTATTAACTCCACCTTATTAAATATGTTATGAACGTATAGTTAGTAATAACCTTCACGCAATCAATAAACGAAATTTGCATTCTTATAGATCTCAAATTTTCTTTTATCCTCCTATAATAGAGAGGAAACATTCCTATTTTTACTTTGGATTTTAAAATTTTGACAAAATACAAAGGAGAATTTATAACATCAAAAACAATCTCTTATTTGGTTTATCTATAAAAGTTTATTAACATCTAAGTCAAAATCAAGAATTTATTTTAACCATATATTTTATGGGCTCTATTAATTTTTATCAAAATCAGCTAAAAATTAAATTTTTATCTAAATCAAACAAGAACTAAATAAATTATTTTTAAGATTTGCATGGTGTAGCGGGTTAATATTCTAAACTTGTGATATTAAAAAGATAGTTCCTAGCACAATTCTAAGATTTTTTTAAAGTTGTTTAGAGATGAACAAAGGAGACCATAACATATTTTATATATGAGAACTTG